AAAAGCGAGGAAAGAAGCATCGTCAAGAGCTTGTCAAGAATCAAACAGCTTACTTTCGCTCTTGTCACGATTGTCTGGCGTACCTACCCTCAGGTAGCTAGCTGCTGACCACTCGATCGATCACCAGTATCATCATCGAAATCGAGGATTCAAGAGCATACGTCAGGAAGGCGAGTGCAGCAGGGTCTACCCAACAGCTTCTTTGGGGGAAAGAAGTATTGTGCCTGACCTTTCCTGCCCCTGGAATCCGACGCCACTCCACAAGCCCAATCGTCTTCCTTCTCCTGGCTCAACGCCTCTCCTTCCTGCCCGCCATCCTGTACAGCATCCTGCCCACATACTTCCTTTCACTTCTTCTCCTTTTCATGAGGTAGGAAGCTGAGGTGCTTTCTCAATTTGCAAGTCTCAAGCCTCGCTGGCCGGCATTCTTACAAGGTCATTGGTGAATCCATCGCCATCACCATTGCCATTGCCATTCCCATTGTCAGTCCCATCATTATCATCATCGTCGTCGTTACCACCCCATTGCAACCAGGCACAACCCAGTAATAGTCACCTAGGTAAGTCTTTCCCGGATTCGAGAGCCAGCATAATGTCCATTCGTCTTCCTTTTCAACTTGAGCCGCCCCCCACTGCGTGTTTTCTTTCTTCCCTTTCTCTTCACAGCATCACCGCATCCCAGGATCTCCTCTCGTTCTCCCAGCCATTCTCTTCGACTCGATTGCTCCTCCGATAGCTCGTCCTATCTTTTTTTACTGATCACTCGCTTCATCACAGAGTCTTTGGTAGCAGCATCCGTCTTCTCCAATTCTCGGACGCCCGGACAACAAATTACCGCCTCCCACGCCAGATTGTGACAGGTGAGTCCCCCATTGTCCCACCTATGCTTTCTGCGAACAGCTCGCTATTTCCTGTTCTCTTCCCTGCAACTATTTTTTTTTTGCTGTGTTGTTCGTATTGTTCACCGGGCGCCCTTTTCACTTCAGAAATGACACCACCTGGCCTATTGTGTACCCTTTTTTTTTTTTTTTTTTTTTTTTGCTCTGATCAATTATCACGAGTGCTGCCTGTCGTCCAAGTCCGCCGTTCCGCCATGGTTATCATACCTGTTCAGGTCGTCCTGAGTGGTAAGCTAACAGCTGGTATACATAATAGATCTCGCAGATC